AGCAAAGAAAAATTCTCTCTGTCAGAGTAAGTCTGTAATACTCATAGCATACATGTATATGTACACACAGTCCATGCCAGCAGCTGCTCACTGTGAGGTAGAGGTGTCCACACCACCTCCTGGGTGCCAGGGCAGCTCCAAGACCTGCCCCTTCACTGCCCAAACCACCTGTGTTCAGGTTCCACTAGAACTGGGATTCTGTGGTACCCACAGCTCTCTTGATGGGAAAGGGAAGGTGCTAAAGTCTTCATTATCAGCCAGGTGCTGAGCTGAGGCCCCCATCAGTGAGAGCTTGTGCCTCCAGTCAGGCAGGAGCTCCCTTTCCCACCACCGCACTGCAACAGAGTCAAGAGCAGGTCCCACACCAGCACACAGCTCCTGGCGTGTGGGTGAGGCAGCTGTGGCTCTGTAGGCAGAGCTGGGCTCTTGCTGACTGAGGGAAAGGTAAACCCAGCCGTGGGGGGAATGGCTTTAACCTGCCAGAGTGGAGACTGAGATGAGCTCTTAAGCAGAAGCTCTTCCCTGTGAGGGTGCTGAGGCTCTGGCACAGGGTGCCCAGAGAAGCTGTGGCTGCCCCATCCCTGGCAGTGTTCAAGGCCAGGTTGGATGGGGCTTGGAGCAACCTGGTCTAGTGGAAGGTGTCCCTGCCCATGGCAGGGGGTTGGGACTGGGTGAGCTTTAAGGTCCCTTCAACCCAAACCAGTCTGGGATTCTACAATTTGCCTGTTAGAGGCCTTCACAGATCATGGTCTCACCTGCCCAAGAGCAGAACCAGAAGCTTGTGTGGAACCATTTGCACACTGGGCTGTGTGAAGGCAGGCCAAGGGGTGTTGCTGACCTGCATTTTTCTTGTCTCACAGGAAAACCTGGATCACAACGACCTCTGTCTTGGCTCTGCTGCTCATGATCAGTGCCATGGGCAATGTTGGCCTTTTCCTCAAGGCCAGGTCAGAGAGGCACCATGAGGGTGGTGACTACCTCTATCAGCCGCTGAGGAAGATGAATGGGGAAGCCAGTCCTACCTCCTCCTTGGCTGCCTGGGAGACAGAAGATGCTCAGGACCAGAATCAAGCCCTTCTCTAGAGTCCTGGCCAAGAAGAGGCAAGGGATCTTACCTGCACCTTGTACTGACTGTCAGAGGCTGTTCTGACCTCACATCTAAAACTCCTGACTAATGCCAGAGCAGCAGCAGATCCCTCAGTCCAAGAAACTCCCTTTGCTGCTGGCCCAGCCCTGTGGAGAACATGGCCAGATTATCAGCCATCCCCTCCTGCTTCAGCCAGGGCCAGCTGGTTAGTTGCCATGAGAGGACACAAGGCATGAGCCCTGGGGCCAGTGCCCACACACAGAGGTGGGTAAGGGAACTCCACAGCTACAGAAGGAAAGGGGCTGGTTCCCCTCCCTTCTTGAGGGAAACAGGTGAGGAATGTGAGCCATGGGCACCTCAGATAGGTCCCTTTCCACTAGAGCAGCAGGAAGTGCTTTTAGGGTGCAAGATAAATTGCCTTTTGTATAAAGCTAGGCTTAAGGAAGCTGGCCTAAGGATGGTGCAGTCTGTAGATGTCTGCTCTTCCCTGCTAAGCTCTGACTTTATCAGAACACTGATGCATCTGATGGAGGCTGTTAGAGCAGCTCATGATAAACCAGTGTTCTCCAGTCTCCTCCTGGCTCCATGGGAGCCTCCGAGGCCAGCACAGCATGGTGGCTGCTGGCAGCATGTTCTTAACCTGGCCTGGGCTGACCACAGGGCTGGGATGTTGTTTTACCTAATCCTTCCTCCTAGGAGTAGTACAGGAGGTATGTGATGAGCAGCAGCCTGGCACAGGCAATGGCCCTTGCTCACTGCTGCTGGAACTGTCTTTCCCTCAGCAGAAGGACAAGCCCATGGCCAACAAGTGCTTCAGGCCCTCAGAGCCTGAGCACCTCGGCTGGAATCAGGTATTTTACTGGAATACATCCTTGCACAACCCATTTAGGCTTTGAATTTGCTTCCATGTGAATGACAACCAGCCCAGATGTGCACCTCTGGTGCTGCAAGGGGGTTAGAGCCCATCTGAGCCTGATACTAACATTTTTATGCAGCTTTTCATCTCTTCAGAAAAAGGCTATGTAATTCTTCTGCCACTGTTGGCATCAAATCAACCTGTAAATGGAAGATTCTATTTTTCTATTACTTACAGAGGCAATTTGAACCCTGAATAAAGTCTATTAACAGTAACTGCCTGGAGCTCAGGTTCTTACTATTCAGCTGCAGGAGGACACAATCTTTCCAAGGTCATTGGGGTTGGCCACTCAAATGCCCTGGGGCCCTTTTTACTTTAACTGACAGCTACAGTGCAGGATGAGGGCTTGGATCGCGCTGTGATGTGGAAAACAGACCAAAAAATGCTGCTTGTACAGGAATAAATTCAAGCACAGTTGAGTTAAAAAGCAGAAATGGCTGAACCCAGCCTTACCCCAGGGCTGGAGGGAAGGAGCAGCACTCAGAGTTTCCCACAGCTTGAACAGTTGCATCAAACACTTCACCATGTGCTTTAGAGAGGTTTTTTATTTCCAACATACAGGAATGCTCAGATCCTCCCCAAGCCTCCAGACACTGTAACCACGTCCATGTGCTGGCCAGGATCACAGTACAAAGCTCCCTGCGTGGTGCTGGTGGGCTCTTAAAAAGCACTTGGAGGGTTTTAGCTGAGAAAAATCAGGATTGCAATAGATAAGACAGCTGCAAAGAGAGAAAGTGCTGCTAAAATAATTAATACCCAGCTTCTAAGTGTAATTTATAGCTTGGAGTGGATGTTGATGTCAGTAAAAGCCAGTGCACATGATTCCAGTTTCCCCTTCCAAGAGGGAAATAATTAGGTATAAGAATCATCACAAACAGGTTGCAAGTAATCATCAGTTTCAGTTCTTGAGACCAAACTCCTTGAGTTGAGCAGGCTTACCCACCTGGGCTCACCACTTCCCACCAGGAAGCCCAAGCTGCAGTTAAGTGTTACAGATTTAAGATGACACGATGATGGCCTTTTCAAAATCTTTTAATTAAATTAGGATCATAAATTCTTAGTACAAGTTGCTTTCCTCTTACTGAAAGGGAAGCGATACACCTAAATCCACCCAGCCCTCAAGAGTGATGGGAACAAGGTTGTGCCTGTGACTGCAGCTGATGCCTCTGCAGATCTGCAGCGGCCACAGTCACACAGGCTTTCCTCCCCTTGGGACAGGCAGGATCACTCTTGCCCCACCCAGCAAGTGCAACAGACCCTGAAACCGACTGGAGGTGCCCTCAGTGCCTGTCACTTCTGTCTACAGCAGTTTGAAAAGCCCTTTTCAAACATAAAAGGAAGGAAATGTTCAGCCACAAGGATTCACCAGGTGGCCACAGAGATGCTGCGAGGGCTGGAGCAGCTTTGGAGTCAGGCTGAGAGAGCTGGGCTTATTCAGCCTGGAGAAGAGAAGGCTCCTTAAGGGGAGACCTTAGAGCAGCTCCAGTGCCTAAAGGGGCTACAAGAAACCTGGAGAGGGGCTTTGGACAAGGGGGAATGGCTTTAACCTGACAGAAGGTAGACTGAGATGAGCTCTTAGGTAGAAGCTCTTCCCTGTGAGGGTGCTGAGGCACTGGCACAGGTTGCCCAGAGAAGCTGTGGCTGCCCCATCCCTGGCAGTGTTCAAGGCCAGGTTGGACGGGGCTTGGAGCAACCTGGTCTAGTGAAAGGTGTCCCTGTCTGTGGCAGGGGCTTGGAACTGGATGAGCTTTAAGGTCCCTTCAACCCAAACCAGTATGGGATTCTATAAGAATCCAGTACTGCAGTCCAGCCTCATGGCCTTCTCCAGTACCTGCCCTCTGGTGCCACACTCTGTGTCTGCCTTTCCTTGTTCTGTTGGAACGGAATCCAGCAAATGCCAGGATGCGGAAAAGCTGTAGGAATTGCCAATAATAAAGGTTTCACCCATGGCCCTACTTAACCTTAACTGATGCACAACACTGTGCCTACAGCCCCACATCATTGCATATGAACCATGGCAACAGCTCTTCGAGGTAGATGTTGTGTTTTGCATATGGAATACTGGAAAGAGGGGAAAGCTCCTCAGTAAGCTGGAGCTCCATTTCGTTACCTGAACACAGCCTGAGCTCACTGACCTCACCAAGGAGCTGCTGCTGGGACACTGAACTTGTCCCCATCTCAACTAACAAAAGATTGCTGTGAAGGAAAGAGCCTGGTTTATTTTCTGATGTCATTTTTTTTGGCGGGGTGGGGAGGGAAGGTGATGTGAAAGAATTTTGCTTCTCTTGTATGTGCCGACGGGCAAAGTCACATTTAACACTGCCACAACATCCAGGCTGGTGCCAGCCTTCTCCTGTTACCATTCAGGAAGAAAGCAATCTCTACTGGATTACTGAACGTGGTAGCCAAGTACACTGGTAGCCAGTTTTGCTTAAAATTGACAAAGAAGCCACCACAAGCTGCCTCCTAAACAGACATGAGCTGGAATCTCTTGGACTGAAGGGTGATACTGCTGAGGAACAGGGACAAAAAGGAGGCTGTGATTTCTCTGGAGGCAGGAGGAGGGAGTACTCCCTGCAACCAACTGGCTCTTCCTGGCTCCTTCAGAGCCCTGGCCTCACTCCAGGTGCCCCACTGACAGGAGTTAAATACCTAACCCAGCTACTGGCGGGAGAACAGCACAGGCCATGTTTGAGAGTAGAATAATAATCCAGTGGAATGGAAAAGATTCTTAACCAGAGCAAGCCAAGGGAAACTGGAATGTCACCATCATGGGACATGACACAAGAAGCTGAAATCCTCCATCAGCATAGGGAGGGCGAGGCTGGGTTTGCTCCTGGTGCTTTGGGAGTCCATTTGAAACTTTCTAGCATCAGAATTAGTTACAGGTAAAGGATCTGACATGAGGGATACATAGATGCGCTTTTAGTTCCAGTACTCGATTTTCCAGAGCAAATGTAGTGCTCTTGCCCCTGTCAGACTCCAATGATATTGTAATGCCAGAGCTAGAAGTTTCATTCACCTGGGAGAAACAATGAAGTCCATGGGAATACCTGGAGAACTCTGAAAGCAGAATTTCCCCATGGCCTGCATTAGTTACCTGTTCCACTCTTACAGTGTGAGATGCAAGGTGGGAGAGCAATTGCCTTGCCTCCAACCCTGAAAACACCCAAACAGCTCATATGAACACAGTGAGTTGTCTCCCATTGTTTCAGATATTGGGGTTCCTTTCTTCTCCTGCAACGCCTGGTACTTCCAAAGCAGTCATTAAAAAAAGGATTAGTAGGAATGTGTCTGTTGTTCTTGGCCACACAGATTCCATCAGCCTTAAAAGCTTGGTGAGAGGGAAAGCAGCACCAAGTCTTTGCTGAGGAAGATGCCATGGGTGATGCATGGATGGCTGTGCCCAAGGAGGAATTGCACTTCGACCACCAGCCGTGCTCCCAGTTTGTGCTGCTCCCCAGCTGGGGACTGGAAGCTTCTTCAGGTTAGGCCACATGTGACACGAGCTGCTTGGTTGGGATAGCTCCAGCCCCTGCAGGATCCAACAGTCTTCCTGATCCTTCTGCAGGCAGTGGATCTGTCAGAGGTAACCTCCATGGCGGGTATGAGGTCTTCACACAGCACAGCTGGATTCAAAAGCAAACATCTGTCCACATCACAAGTCCTGCCAGCTGCAGACACTGCCCAAGGGCAATGGAGCATGTGACACCTATTCCCATTTTGATGACACCTAGACAAGAACACAACTTCCCTACCCAACCTGATAACTGGATCACTGGTGCCTTTGTTGCACATCTATTCTCTGGAATAATCAGTGGAGATAAGGGACAAAGGTGGTATTTTTGGTGTGTCAAAAATGCACAATCTTCTTCCAGCTCCTAAGTCCATCCTCACTTCTCAATACTAAGAAACATCCCTCCAGAGTCCCCAGGCCCTGGAGTGTAACCCTCCTCCACGCCCCCCCCCCCCTTGCAGAAGACAGCAACACACAGCCCTTACCCAAGTGCTGGGTATGATACAGCCCTTAACAGAGAGCATCCAGGGATCCCAACGAGTAGAATCTCAGTAGAAAGACTTATTGGGATTGAAGACAATCAGTTATGCCTTTCTACAACAAAGTTCTTCCCATTAAAAAAGGTGACTGGATTTAATAAATAGTCATTTCTGAAGTTACAAATAAGTTAAAAATTAACTTAGATAAGCTATTATTTGAATAAATACCTTTCAGTAAGAGCTTAAATACATACATGCCTTTTCTTAAAGTTTTCTCTTCAAGTTAACTTGTGTTTTAATAAAGCAAGGTCTATAATACTGCCATAAAATTCTGTGCCTTCAGGAAATAAAATATTGCTTTTCTTAGCCCTTGATAATGATTCACCTCCCATCCACTTTGATGAGATAGGTTGGATCTACTCATTATTGCTTATAAACCTGAGGAAAGAGAAACAGTAGTCCTTCAGAAAGATGCTGCTTACTGGAGTCAGATTGCCTTCTCAAAACCCATTATGACTTGTGTCTCAGTGGGTTAAAAAAAATCCAGCCTGTTTCCTAGTAGCATCCTGTCAAATCAGAAGAGGTTTTAGGTTTGACCCTGGAACTGATTTTTGAAGCATCCTCTCTGTATAAAGGAATTTCCAGTTTAAGTCCTTGCACTTGAAGTGCCCATTTCACACTCTGATGTGTAACTGCCACCCTGGGCACCCAGGAAACTAGATTTGTTTTGCTACATGAATAGTCCTACAGAGCAAACAGATAAGGCAACATCAGTCTCCTCTACATAGGAAAAGGACTGACTGGAAAGAGCCCTTTCAAGTGGAATAACACAGATTCATGCAAACTGACATTCATCCAAAACCCATTTGTGAAAAAGACTACTGAGAAGTAGACATCTGATATAAAGATTTCTAAGTCTGCCATATGAATAATGTTTGATGCTCACAGCAGCTCCCAGAAGCCTCTCTGTGTCCAAATGGCTGCTCCCTGTGGTCAGGCAAACGACTGCCTCCATGCTCAGCCGCTGGAGGCTCTTTGGTTTGGTGCACAGAGCAGCTCTAGGGGGCCAGGAGGCCCTGGGTGACTCTTCCTTACTGCTGCAGCCTCAGCCCTGCTATCTAGAAAGATGGGAGCTGCTCTGGGACTGGCTGGACAACGTGGTGGCTCCACTCAGCTGGGAAAAACCACTGTTACAAGATTCCAGACTCGACATGGATCCCCTGGGATGGAACAATACAGATTTGTTAGTAAGGCAGCTATTAATGAAGAACTCTACACATCTGACAGATCAACTTGCACTCTGTAACACGCAGAAGTATTTTACATTTTGTCCCATTGTTTTCAACTAAGAATCTCCATGTCATAACGACAAATTAATTTGCCAGAGACATCCATTTTCCATGTTACACATACTACACCTCATCTCTGGCAATTATTCTGGGAGCAGGATGCAGCTGGAGCTGCTGTGGAGCTGCATTCACTGCTCCTGCACAGAAAGGAATGCCCAGGAGCACTCCAAATGCTCAGTGATGCAGCTGTCACTGCTAACCAAGGAACTCCAGCCTGCTAAACATGACTCCACCTCAGCATGTCCAGCCATGGGCTTCAGCTCTTTCTGGCCAAGCAGACAGGGCTCACTGTAGCTGTGACTGCCTACTCTTCCCATCATACTTTATGCAGGTCAAGTGACAAGTAACAGGTTTGAATGACTGGAGTAAGGAGTTTGTTGCTGCTGCTCCAACTACACAGGATCTAGCCAGGTCACATTCTCAAGACCACCACCTGCAAATCTGTTCTACTTCCTCCATCTCGTAGCAAAAGGCCAAGTACTTAACAAAGAATTTAAGTTACTGGGTGACTGGAGAAGTACTTTTAGCAGTAGAAGAAGCCAGGCAAATCCTGCCTGTGTTGTTGCATTCACCTATTCACCACTGAGCTTTCTCAAGTGCCAAATGAACTATGTGTGAAATAATCCAGCTGGTATTTGATAAGTTACCCCAAAAGTAACTCTTCATAATTGTCCTAAGATAAAGACTCCTCAGTCTAAACTCTCCCCGCTTCTTCAGGTAGCTGTCAGCAAGAACTGAAGCACAGATTCTACTGCGAACATACAGCCAAGAGGTCTCTTATTACCTACAGCACTAAAGGAGATTCTTTGTGCAAAATGCTATTAAGTTTGTTCCCATCTAACTTATCATCAGTGAAACCTATGATCTCCACAGGGCGTGTGTATCAATGTTTAACTCACACTCAGTTCTCTGGCTTCTCTATTGCAAGTCACACAGTAGGACCCCCCCAGTACACCTCCTACCTGAAGTCCTTGGATGCAAGCACCTCGTAGTAGTATATAAGCTTGCACTTGTGACTGGAAACTTGCAGAGAGGCAAGAACATCATCCACCCGAGGGAGGGTGGTGGCAGCACAGGGGGGAGGGCCATGCATCTTCCACTGGAGAATATAAAAGCCAGGCCAGCGAGTGACATGAGATCCCTGGGAGAGAAAAAGTGCCATCAAGTGACTATCATGTGCCTTAAGAAATGGCTGAATTTAGCAAAATCAAAAGCAACTAGTGGAGCTGCCTGCTTTGGGGAGCACGCATCATGGCACACCTCTAAGGCTAGTGACAAAAGGTTATTTTCAATTAGTTTATCCAGGATTATGGAGTCTCTTTCCAATTGCTCACTCTAAATTAGAACTGCAATAGCAGCCACTTTCACAGGGAATACAGAGAACAATGACCACAACTGTTTCTAAGCACAACATGATTTGCCTTGCCATCAATTCCTTCCCCTTGCCACCATGGCACCTTAGATCCATGCCAGGACCCAAAGACATCTGACCTGGATGCTTTCTCCTTCCCGGCAAACCAGTGGAGATTCCATATGGCTGTAATCCACCCCAAGGACCCACGTCTTGTCAATCAGCTGCATATTGTCCCCAGCAGCAGAGGTACTTGGTAACGTGGCTTCTTTGTGACTTGTTTCAGGAGCTCGTTTGGAGTGGAAGAGGCTGAACACCACATCTCCCTTCAGGATGTCAAAATCCCATGTGATGACAGATTCCCCTTCCAGAATCTCCACAACTATCTAAGAAGGGAACAAAACAAGCCCATTGTAGAAAGATTCTAAGGGGACAGCCACTCTGCAAAGATGTTTTTCTCCACCATCCTTCAGTTATGCCATTGGTCTGGATTCCTAAGGAGGATACAAACCCATTGCCATCACCAGACTTCTGCCACAGTACATCTACTCAGGTGTTTTCACCCCATCCCTCCTCTGTATCAAAGTTTCTTGTAAATAATTTACTAGCTCTGGAAAACCTCAGCAGAACTGCAGCAAAGCATTCCAGACAGCAAAGAGCACTCCAAAAGGCACTGTTGCTTTTTAAGGAATCAAGCAGGCCAAGTCAGTTACTCACTATCAGTGAAGCTGGTGGACTGCTTTGACACTCAAGTGCTGCTCTTTCGGACATTGTTTTCTCATGATGCCTATCAGGACATTCCCAGTACTTACCTTCTTAAATCACCACTACTGCTGTCCCAGCTACACCACTGGGAATGGAAGCTGTACTATCAAGAAGGCAAACTGAGTGAGCTTTATTTCCCCAGAGGAGGAGGAGGAGACTGTATCCTACAGAAGATGAAGCCACAGTAGAAGTAAAAGACACTGTTCCTCAAATTGCTGTTCTTCACTTCCACACTCCTGGCTGTTAGCTGGCATTAGCCTTCCCAGGAAAGGCATACTGCTGAACCATCTTTGGGAGCACTTAATTGCTCTAGTCAGCCTTTAACAGAAGCGACAAACCTGCAACATATTCCCCCCGCAGCCTTGTGAAGTTCTGGTTTGTACCTCATGTGGAGCTCCTTTGAGGACGCTTGCAGAGTGATAGATAGTTTCTGTCCATAACCGGATGTGATCCGAGTTCTCTGACTCATCTTCTGTTTGATAAAGTGACTTGGGAACAAGGCCACCTTCTGGGACAGTACACTGGAAAAGTCAGACAAATATGAGGGTTTAAACTAATCTAATGGCAAAGTATCAAGTCATCTGTACCACAAACCCTCACTGCCTGTCAGACAGAGGCTGACACCATCAGCTGGTGTAAGATTCCACAGTGAAACTAATTACATGAACTGTAATAGTTTATCTATTCTCCATGTAGACCTAACCTCAAATCCCCTTTCTCCAAGGCAACATCACCACTTCAGGGTGAAGTCTGTGCACAAGTTAACTTCACTGTGCTCAGAGCAGAAGTACCCCCACCACAACAGAGGTTTAGCCGCCTTTCAGAAAGAAGTGGAAGAAGGCCAGGGCATTAAGGAGGAGGGAATGGAGGATGCTTGCAGGTTCCACCTGCACAATAGGAAGGAAAACTCACCATACAGTCTCCTCCCAGGAAGTCTGGGATCACATCTTTGTCCACATAATCGACCAGCCCTCCTGGACCCTGATAGTTATTCCCACTGTAAATGAGGAACTTCTGTCTTGTGTTCTCATTGATAAAGGGACTAACCTGAAATAGAAAGTGGATAGAAGACATGTCACTGAGTGAAGTTAGAGACAATGTTTATACCATCTTACATGGATGCTTCAGGCTCTAGACTGGAAGGCCTCTGCAGCAGGAATACAGACCAGCACACCAATTCCCCAGAGAAAGGGTAACAAATGGCAAGGGTACAGTATCATCTCACAACGGGTTTTACCTCATATAAAATAAGCTTGCAGTCACCACATCACATATAAACCTCACAAGAAATTTAACCACCATGTTTTCACATTGCCAGAACAGCCATCAGGCACCAGGCAGAACCACATTTTTTCTTACTCTTCAATGTCCTCCAGCATGAGATTAAAAACAAACCCCATTTGACTTCTCCCATCAGTATAAAACCTCACCAACTTTGGGTTACCGTGGGCATGCATGAGGAGTTGAAGTTTATCTCTGACATCCTGTCCTGCCCTGGTGGACAACAGCCACTGCAACCAAATGAGCTACAGGCATGTTATGGCTTGCTCTGTAGTGATGCTGTGGCCTCTTCAGGAGTTAAGCCACAAGTTCCTTGGAAGCTTTTCCTTCCCTAACCTTTCAAACAAGCAGAACTCACACTGACTGGATGATTTAGCTATTTGTACATGCACAAGATTCTGCAGTCCAGATTTCACCCACCAAAGTCCAGAGCACAGGAAAAACCCTGGGTGCTCGCACTATCAACAGTCTCCCCAGAGTCTCAGGGTAGTTGTCCTCCACAACCTCAATTATCCGAAGCAGGGCCTTAACTCCAGGCCGCCAGAGATGCCGCATATTCAATCCTTCCAAGTCCACCAGACATGTCCAGGATCTAAAAGAACACACGGAAAGAGACCTGTCAGAAATTCACTGCACAGTGGCTACTCAGCTGATGAGCCACAGACTCTTTCAGTAACACTGCAGCCTGTACAGGATCTAGCGAATCCACCAAGGGAGAGCAGCATTGCAATGAAAAGCAGATCTCCACTCACAGGCAGAGACAGCCTGAATCTGGCTGAGCTTTCAGGTAAAACAGACACCCAAGCCCAAAGGCAAGAACATATGGTGTCAGTGTGGAAGAGGATGAAGGCATCCAGGCCTATTCCTAAAAATAATTCGAAAAGTATATTTTAAATGAAGCTGGAAACTGGCAGTTTCCTGTATAAAAAAGAATTTGAAGGGTCTGGACTAAAATCACCAATATTAGATTAAATTAATCTGAAATGGGACATAAAAAGACATAAGGAAGGATCCATACTTACTTTCATATGAAGATGTAGAATTTATCAGCATTTAAGTCCACTATATACAGCACCCAAAGCCCAGGAACAGCCCAGAACATGGACCCACTGCCATCTATCTGCAGCTTAATCCTAGGACATCATCTAAAACCTTCACTCAGAGAGGTTTTTCTCAACATGTCAGTTCAAACTCTGTAAGGATACAAGAAAATTAACTGTACTAACGTGATGGGGCGGCCAAAGATGTTGGTGTTTTCCTCACACCTCTTTTGTCCTTCCTCATTAATTGACAGAACCTAAAATGAAAGCCAGTCAGAGTGGGGTTAGCCTCAGTATGAGAAACCAGGACAGGCAGCAGATCTTATTTCAAAAACCAGAACCTAGAAGCACACCACCTTGAGAACTTGCAGTGTACAAAACAGAATGAAAGTTTACATTAAAAAAGGCTTCTGCACTGAAAAGTTGAGCTGATCATACAAGGTACAGATACTGAAAATCTAAGATGAAGGAGAACAATCTCAAGTTCAAATGTTATAGCTGAGCTACATGAGAGGGCCATGGAAAGCTTACGGTGAACTGCAGGTTATTGGAAAGCGTCTTTCTGGCCAATCTGTACCATTACAAAAGCTTCACTTCTGTCTCTGCAGGAAAACGGAGCAGCTGTGCCATGTCACGTCACTAAGCCGACTTTGAGTTGCCAGCCACACAACACAGGAACTGTGTCAGGCAGGTAGATTGCTGTCGCTCCATAATACTCTAAACACCCCAAGGGAGATGGGAGTACTTTGGGTGAGAAAGGAAAATACAACTCACATGTCGCAACAATGATTCCTCTCCCAAAGCTTTCACCAAACCTTTTGTGTCCATCTGGCCAAGACGAAGGATGTAGAGTGGTCGTCCATCTTAACAAAACAAAACAAAACAAAGCAAAAAAACCAAAATAACCAAAGAAGAGGATTAGAGAGGGCCACATGAAATCATGGAATGGTTTGTGCTGGAAGGGACCTTAAAGCTCACCCAGTTCCACCCCCCTGCTGTGGGCAGGGACACCTTCCACTAGAGCAGGCTGCTCCAAGCCCCATCCAACCTGGCCTTGAACACTGCCAGGGATGGGGCAGCCACAGCTTCTCTGGGCACCCTGTGCCAGCGCCTCAGCACCCTCACAGGAAGAACTTCCTCCTTATACCTAACCTGAACATCCCTGTTTCAGTTTAAACCCCTTGTCCTATTGCTACAATCCCCGATTAAGAGTCCCTCTCCAGCATCCTTGTAGGCCCCCTTCAGATACTGGAAGGCTGCTTTGAGGTCTCCACGCAGCCTTCTCCAGGCTGAACAGCCCCAACTTTCTCAGGCTATCTTCATACGGGAGGTGCTCCAGTCCCCTGATCACCCTTGTGACCTCCTCTGGACTTGCTCCAACAGCTCCGTGCCCTTCTTATGTTGAAGACACAAGAACTGCACACAGTGCTGCAAGTAGGGCCTCACAAGAGCAGAGTAGAGGGGCAAGATAACCTCCATTGACCTGCTGGTCACACTCTTTTTGATATATGAAATATTTTAAAAGGATAAAAATCACATCCAAAGGCAGCCTTATCAAATTGATGCTGCTTTGGACTCACTCTAGTCTGCCTCATCTGTGTAGAGAAAATAAAGTTACATCAAAACAAAGTGGCTATTTACATGTGAGTGGCTTTGTTAGTGTTTAAATTGCCGATACTCACAAGGTCCTATAATCAACCCATGCTCTAACTCAAGGGGCAGCTTCTCACCTTTGTCTTGGTAATGCCACCCTCCAGTGTAGTATTCATCTAGGAGGGCTGGAGGCCTCCAGGACTGGAGGATGTAATCCACCTGGTACTGCTTGCGCCAAGACAGCGACTGGCAGAGCATTTCTCGAGCCTTGTCGATGTTGAAGTCCCGCGCCCGCAGGAACCGAAGGATATGTTCATCTTTAGGGATCTGAGAGAAGAGAAAGTCTAAGATCAAGACCGCTACATTACCTGTACCACTATTCCGTAAAGCCCACAGAGAAGCATGTACCATTTTTTAGCCTCTTAAAATGAAGATAAATAAACTTACATGCCTTCTGCCTCCCTCCTCACCTAATCCAGCTGAATGCAGCAGATGGTGCTAGGAGCACAAAGAAGGGACTGATTCACAGCCTGTGAGAGAAGCCTTTCACTGGTCTCAAAGCCCCAGCAAACTGAGCTTGCTGAAGTTTCCCTCAGGTAGCTATCCCAAAAGGACAAACAAAATACTGTATGAAAGCAAGAGCTGCAAGCTGACTGCCCATAGGGGAAAATCAAAGGATGGAAAGCATCCATAGGTAACTTGTTACCTGAGCTTAAGCACTTTTTGGAGGGAGATCATGACACCATAGTCTTTGAGTGATTACCCCCTACACCAATTCCAGCTCTCATGCAGATCTCCCTTCTGCTTTGCTGCTGATAATCCCTCCTTGGTGTTGTCTCAACAGGAAAGCATTAGAGCTCTTTGACAAGCTTCCCTGCCCCATCACATCATGCTAACTCCTGCCAAAACATACATATTGACCAGAACTACAACAAGTAGTTATTGTAGTCTGGTCAAATCTCTATCACTCATCCCAACACTTTCTATCAGTAATCCTAGCAGCACAAAAGCTTTCCCAAATCAGGTCTGTAGAATGGTTTATTCCAACCTTCTTCTCAATCTCACATGTTCCCTCTTAGCTGAAAATAAAAATCAAAGATTTGCATACTAAGCATCAGGAACTAACCATATACCTGACAGATTCCACAGCAGGGCCGAATTTGTCTAAAAGCCTGTCAAGCTGCAAACCCAAATGGATTCTAGCTGCATATGCTGCTCTGCTTTTTTCTCCTCACCCCAACTCCCTCAGAAGTGTTTGGCCCCATCTGCTACATCAAGCTTCCATTAAAAATTCAAGTTCTGGCAAGCAGGGATAGCCTCCTCTGGAGTGTCTGTACTGACTGAGCATGACCTAAGCAATCTGAGCCCTGCTGTAGAACAAATAAAAGCTCATGTTTGGGAGTCAAAGCTCTTTTGTTTGTTCATTGACATGCTCACAACTATAGAAAGCAGGGGAGAAAGCAGAGCCATCACCTGTGTCAGGCTGGGAGCAACCCCAGTATCACAACCTGGTATGAAACTGCAAGAGATATTAAGAATTTATTCCACCTACAGAAAGGGGTAGGGTTCAGGCAGCCTAAAGCAAAGCCTAGAAGCACCTGAAGAGATAGGACATTAACAATGCTCAGCATACTCTAATGCTGCAAACACTGCATTTATCTCTCATGGAAAGAAGAGGGCAGCCATCCCCAATAAGATCTCTAAGGTATTTATAAGAACACCACCAAAGTTTTCTGCAGCAGAGCAAGGGTAAAAGCAGCAGAACTCTCATCAGCTGATCTATGTTTCTGCTGCTCAGAGGAAGCTGTTACTCCTCAGACAACAGACAAACCCCACAAACATCTACAACAGACCCCAGATCTCCTGTAAGGCCCAGGAGATGGAATGGCTCTTAGGTTTTTGTATGTTTCAAGCCTATATAGTCCATAGCCTCAGATAAGAGGCAAATTTAGCACTTTTGTTTAGACCAAAGGCAGGGACCTCCTGGGACTTACTCCATAGTGTAGTCTCTTATCTTTATCCAAACAAAGCAGTAACTCCCATATGAGGTTTTAATCTCAGCCTCCTTTTCTCTTTACCAGTGACAGTACATGTACTCCTTTGCATAGTGCAAAGACGTTGATTAATAGCTGTAAGTATCTGCAATTTTAACGCCATTTGATGATTGTTTCTTCAGCTACTCAGATTTTTAAAGCAATGATAAATCTGGTCCTAAAGGATATCTTCTTTGGAGGGAACAGGGACTGGATACTGAAATAGGATAAAGAGAAAAAAAATAAGAATAAAAAGGAACATCACCACTTTCTCTATGAGGGTGCTGAGGCGTTGGCACAGGTTGCCCAGAGAAGCTGTGACTGCCCCATCCCTGGCAGTGTTCAAGGCCAGGTTGGATGGGGCTTGGAGCAACCTGGTCTAGTGGAAGGTGTCCCTGCCCATGGCAGGGGGGTGGAACTGGATGAGCTTTAAGGTACCTTCCAACCCAAACCAGTCTGGGATTCTATGATTTTCCAAGAAACAGAAGATCTACAAATATTTTTTGATAGAGGAATAAGGACAGCCTTGCTTCAAATTAAGAGAGCAGATTCTCACAGCAAGGTAACAGCCTCTCCAGAGAAAACTCAACTCATGTAGGGCAAGTTCCCAATTCTCTATTACACTGACAAGCAATCAAAATCTAACTCCTTACCCCTACCTGCAAAAACACACCCAACCATTTAAATTGTGTTTCTTCCACCTGAAAGCAGCATCCTTGGAGATCCCATGCATGGATAAAGTCTCACTGTCTTATTCTCATCTAGGGCTCATTTTTAGCTGGTTAGCCAATAGTTGAGACATCTCCTACCACACAGAAATCCACTGGACAGGTTACTATTAACTTGAAAAGCCTTGTACCACATATTTCATAACATAATAATGCCTGGGCATTTATCCTTACCCTTTGCTTTATGTCTGCTTGTTGTCAAACCCCTTTTATTTGACAGGAGGTTGATCATGGGAGACAGATCACAACCAATACTTAGTAGAGCTCATTTCGTCAGTGAAGCTGTTATTAGCAGTGCACACACAGTTACCTGGTTAGTTGGGAGGCCAGCCCTAGCTGTTTACTCAGAGGCAGAGAATCATATTGACATGATAGGAGCTTGCAGGTAGACGTTCAGACAGCCCTTCAGTCCTTTTTTCTGTTGAGGGTGTATATATTCCTGTAGGCACTACCTGCATCTAGCAGCCAGCATAATTTTGGACATGGTCTCAGTTATATAACCTGTTGTTGATGCTACTCTAGACCAGTGGCCTTGGACAGATTTGGCAGATGCTTGGTGTTCTCAATTTATCAGCTCACAGATTCAACAGTGTTGGTATTCTCTGGAGCCTGTCAGCTGCTGGGAGACTTTCACACATTACCTCAACCTCTGCTGTTACCATTACCTCTGCTGTTCTCTTCAGCCTGTGGTTTTCTGGTAACTGTTTCTCCATCCACATTCACAGGTACCAACAAAACCCCCACACACACTCTCTCACAGAAGGGGACTTCAAGTTCAGTAACAAAACTATAGCACTAAATCTGTTACACTTTACATAGACAATTAGTTTTTCCAAGAAGAAACAAGGGGTTTATAAATCATGTTTAAGCTCTTATACCTCCCCTTATACTCAGATGAGACATGCCCTCTTCTCAGCTCTCAAAGGCACAGCAAGGCACATAGAAAGCACAGTAGCCTCTTTTGAAAACGCCAATTCAAAGAAAAAGACAAATCCAAAGCCTGTGACTGCAGAATACCTCCTAACTCATTCTGTATGGCTGACAGAACAGTTACCTTCTAAGGCAGGAAACTATTACTATTGAAACCTTATCTAGCTGTACTGTTTTCAAGGAGAGTCACTTGCTCCAACAATATTTCTCCTGGTTTCCTCTCTTTGTAAGCAACATTCCACTATTTATCTATTCAGCTCACCCACTTATTGTCTTTTGCTATCCTTGGTCCTTCCATCCCACTCAATCTCTCTCCATCAGGAAACCTCAAGTTAGATCACCTTTGAGGCATTCAAACTGCTCTAGATTTTTTCTTTTCTCAACCACATACCAGTTACCTCTTGGTCTGATCTAGACACTCCAACCAGGAGGAGCCCAAGCAGCTGCTGAAGCAGAGCTGTATTTCAGCAGAGTAGGGATACATCTAGCGCACAGTACCTCTGCTGCTTTTTAGGGAAATGTGTTTCTATGTCTACTAGCTGGCCAACTCCAGCTGTACTTGCCCACATCTAGTGTCCTCAGCTCCTCTGTTTTAGAGGCTTTACACAACATACAAGGTAAGACCGTCTACTTCCCACACACTCAAACAGTCCTGGGCAAACAGTCTGGGCAGTCAAGCCCCAGCCAATGCCTACTCTAAACCCACAGCAAAACCTCTGGGCTTGGGGACCTTCCCACACAGAGCACTGAAGCAAGAAAACACAGGTCTGATACCACCAGATCCCACCGCAAGGTCACACAGGCTTTTTGCTACTGGCCTTTCACCCAACCTTGCCAACACAGGCAAGTCTCAGCACACAAATTGTCCATGGGCCTGAGTTTTATTGGAGGGTTGAAGGCACATGAGGTACAAGAATCTTGTGTTGAGGCTTGCACAGCGTGCTCCCTGCCTCATCTACCCACCTTGCCTTTGTGCGTCTCTTGCAGCCACTGGCGCAGGCGAATCAAGCAGCTCTCCTGCATCGGAGTCAGCTGGCCCAGATAGCGCTCGATGTAATCAGCATCCAGCTTGTCACCTGGAGGGAGTAAAAGAGAACAGTTCAGAGGAGACCTGGCATAGCCAGAAAGGAGATTTCTACACAGCAGGTTACTTAGGATTTACACTGGAAGAGCTCAGAAGCCCTCATTTTTGATGCCTAAGGGAAGTGAGGGATATTCTCATGGCGATTAAGGCATGACAACACAGGCAACATTTAAGAATCACTCCTCCTGTCTTCTGGAATGCTAATATTTCATTCAACCCTGAACTGCTCCAGCAGGAACTTAAGAAATATGAGCTCTAGCACCTGCCTCCAACACCTGGGCATTTAAATCCCCCAGTTCCCTACAGATCCCATGCAAAATTCCCATGACAAGAAGCTAAAAACCAGCTGGCTGAAAATTGGCACCAGAAAGGGACAACAACACTACCATAACACTACCATTTCTGACAGCAAGGGAGACTTTAAGGCATGAAGAGAAGCCCTATGCAGACCAGCAGTTCAAGTTCCCTCTAGATCAGAGACAAAGGACAAGGGGTGCGAGACTGCCAGCATTCAGAGACAGAAGCAGAAGTGTCATCCGAAGCTTGGATGTGCAGATGCCAGCAAGGAGAATGTGGTACCCAAAGGGAAGCAAAGCACAGGCCAATAGCTGTGCTGGAGGTACAAAGGCACATGAGAAGGAGGGCTGGGAGATCCACCTCTGAGCTAGCTCTTCATCAAGTACAAAATACTTTCAGCAAGTACCATTAACGACAGAATAAGGCCTGGACACCCACAGGATATGCTGGTACTGACTGATAATACGGAAATTATAGCATAGAAGTGCTATGCCCCCACTGAATCCACCGAGCCAGAAAACAGGAGAGCAGTCCCAGGGAAGCTGATCACTTCCTAAACATGAATATAAGCAAATAAGTAAGAGCTACTCTCCTCTTCTGCTAGATGGGATCTGCCACTCTTAGTCACAGAATGATCTGGGTTGGAAAGGACCTTAAGATCATCCAGTTCAAATCCCCTGCCATGGGAAGGGACACATCATGCCAGATCATGTCGCCCGAAGGCTCTGTCCAACCTGACCATGAACACTGACGGATGGAGCATTTACAACTTCTCTGGGCAGTCTGTTCCAGCACATCACCACAGGGAAGAACTCCTTCCTTGTATCTAACCTGAACTTTCCCTGTTTAAGTTTGAACCCAATATCCCTTATTGCATTGCTACAGTCCCTGATGAAGAGTCCCTCTCTCAGATTAACTTGAACCCCAAACCACATGAATATTTCGCAGTCAACTCCTTTGAGGTTTTTTTATTCTTTTTCCAGATGGATTCCAATTCTCCTACCAGAGAAGGTCTGGTGACACCAGAACCATTGACAGTTCCAAATTCCAAGCCTTTCCCCTAGTTACACTCAGCAAAACAAGTGCTGTCTTTCCTTCTGAGGAATGACAACTCCTTTATCTAATACCACAGCTCTCAATTAAAAAGTCCTTCCTATTTCTTTTTGCAGAAAAGAATTTTATTTAGTCTAGAAGATACCATCAGATTAACACACAAAGATCTAGAAAGATAAAATCCAATTCAAGCATCTTGTGTGAGTAAGGCATTAGGCAACATTGTCTTGGCCTGATAGAGGGGCAAAAACCATCCAAATAAATCCTCAAGAATATGAATTTTAAAATAGCTAAAACGTTTCATTATAATTTAGGTATAGCATACTCAAGACACCTTTAAGTTTCTCAAATTTAAGGTATAAAGTACCTTAAAGCTAGATGAAAACCAAGTTTTCTTCCTATGCTCAAACTAAACCTATTGCAGGCAGAGTTTTTCTTGTCTTTTCAGTTTTTTTTGGGGGAGAAAAATTCCATTGTTTGTGTTTTTCTTGAAGAAAATAACTTTCCTTCCTCCCCACCCACAATCCAGAAGAAAATCCTTATGCCAAAAGTAGTAAACCTAAACTTATTAGTCAGCGCTGTTCAAGGCACTTAGATCTGGACATCACATACCATCAGAGCTGAGAGCCTCTGCTGGAAGGCAGGAGCTGCCAGTTTGCTCTTTGGTAGTTCCAAGAGCTCCAGAGTCAAGGGCCACAGCAGCATCAGCAGCATCTCCAGCAGCTGGGGTTTGCTCATCCTTCTGCTCACACACACGGGGAGGTGTCCAGCGGGGGATGAACGTGATCCCTTGGGAGATCAGCTCCTTCAGATAGTGTTCAATCACCTCCTTGCCCTGAAGGGGATGACTCTCATTAGGAAAAAGCCACCCCATCTCCCCAGAACCAGCAAGGTGCAGGAAAACTTTCCTCAGGACAGATGACTAATGCTGTTAAACAGAAGAAAATAGTTGTCTCTTTCCATCTGCACAGCCCTGCTGGAAAACTTTGGAAGCACCATACAAATGGTGAATTACAACACTGGCCAAGCAAATGCCAATGCCAATGCAACACTTGTATCCCCTCTCCTGCTTCCAAGCCATCAATTAGCTGCCCTGTTCCTATGCAGTCCAAGGGGGTAAAAAAAAAAGGCCACCAAAAGGAAACCGCTCTTCCCAAGCTGAGAGACAGGGTGCTAATTTTTACCCAGAACTTTCTCTTCCTGCAGAAGAACATTGTCCTCAGTGTGCGAGAAGCCTGGCACCCACCACATCCACTGCCATCCTCCTCTGGCACAGCCTGCTCCCTCCTCTGCACAGACAAATTCCAGCAAGCACGCTGTTTTTCTGCTCAGTGTATGCTGGCTTTTTCTTACTGAGAGATTTCAGAGACATGAGCAGAAGTATAAAACTAGACTGGGTCTATCTCACAGAGGCACACTGAGAGCAGGTGTTTGAATGCGGGGTTTCTGGCACAAAGGAAAGCCCATCTTACCCGCTTGATGTTTGAGGTATACTGCTTCATGGCAATCTTTTCCACTGTGCTTTCAAAACCGAAAAATGACTTGATGTCAAGAGATGCAGATTGTTCAAAGCAAGTCCACTCTTCATTCTCAGGGTGAACCTAAGCCCAAAGACAGACACAGGGTTGGATGGTAACAGACTTCTCACAACATATCAGTGCCCTTGCCCCTGGTACAACTGGCTATTTAATCTCCAGAGCTAGAGACTGAGGGCACAGAAGAGGCTTCCTATGAGGCACCAACAGACCCATATTTAAGTCAGGTTAATTCTCCCAGAGCAATGGAATGCATCATGAACTGGACATATTAATGTTTGTGGTTGTCCTGGGTTCAGCAGTAGCAGTCATTTTTCTCCTTCTTGGTAGCTAGTGCAGCACTGTGTTTTGACTTTCAGCCTGGGAACAGAGCTGATAACAATGGTGTTTTAGTCTGACCAAGGACTTTGTGAGCCTCATGCTCTGCCAGGGAGGAGGGGAAGCTGGGAGGAAGCAGAGACAGGACACCTGACCCCAACTGACCAAAGAGGTATTCCATACCACAGCACGTCATGCCCAGGATATAACGGAGAGTTACCCGGAAGGGCTGGGACTGCGGTGTTGGAGGAGGTATTGGTCAGTGCTTGGTTGGGGGGGGGGGGCAAGTTATCGGTCAGCTGGTGGTGAGGTGTTGTATTCTCTTCTCTTGTTATTACCTTTATTATTGTTATTATTGGTAGTAGCAGCAGTGATTTGTGTTATACCTTAGTTATTAAACTGTTCTTATCTCAACCCGTGGGAGTTGCATTCTTTTTGATTCTCTTCTCCGTCCCTTCGGGAGTAGGGGGAGGGCAAGAAGGGGGGGGACAGTGAGTGAAGGAGCTCTGCCTGGTTTAAACCACAACAGTTCTTTTTTGGTGCCCAACGTGGGGCATGAGGGGTTGAGATAACAACAGATCTGACCGAATTAATAGTCACTCGTTGCAATGCTGATTTATTGGCTCTCAGAGTTGTTCTTGTGGATCTCACAGCTTCAGAATGTAGTACCTTACTTAGAGCCGGTATCTGCTGTGTTAGTGTTTATCAAGTGCGGGGCTTGGGCTAAGGTTCTTGTCTCACTGTGCTTTATGGCAATGACTTGTAATACGGGTGGGCTCCAGCAGCAGGGCGGGACGGACGTGGCCGTGGACTTGTACCTGGCCGTCCGGCTGCTCTCCATCTTCATGAGGCTGCGGGGAGCCGAGGGGGAGCGGACTCGGAAGCCGGCGGCTGCTGAAGCGGCCCAGGAGAGCGGCCCCGGGGAGCAACCGGCGGCGGGAGCGGGCCGGGAAGCCGCGAGGGGACGGCTGCCGGTGGAGGAGGTCGGGGCGGTCGAGGAGCGGAAGGAGGCGGCCGCCAAGCAGAGGGAGAAGGCAGCGGAGGGGCCGAGCCCAGCCCCACGACGGCCGAGAGCATTCCCCGGAAGCCGCCCGCCGAGCCCCAGGAGGATGCAGGAGACCACGCAGCATTTCCCAGCAAGGCAGAGGAGGAAGAGCTGGACTCAGGAAAAGAGAAGCTGGTGGTGGGAGAGCCGGCAAGCACAGCAGCTACACCAGCCCCAGTGACAAGTACAGCAGCATCAACTGAGAGTTCTGAAGGTTTTGAACGGCCTTTGGGTACCCTTGGGACCTGCCTGCTGATTGTGATGGGGATCAGCATGTTGGCACACACACAGACTGTGTTTTACCCACAACCATTTTGTCTGATCTCAAAAGTTAAGCAGAGTCGGGTTTGGGTCTTGTCTGGGGTTAGACGAGCATATAGGAGGACCAGGAGATTTTCCCCAAGGCTGGACAGTCATGAGTGGCAGGGCATGTGGGACAGCATGGGCAAGTACCTAGTCCACTGGGCCCCTCCAGTGCTTTGGAAGCACCGGAGATGGAAGGCAGCTGTATGGAGTCCCCAGCAACAAGCTGCAGAAACTGCTGGACGGGACAGTGAATTATTTTAAGCCTGGTGGGCCCATGGCACTTCAGGCCATCAGAGCAGAGATGCAACATAGAGATGGACTCATGGTCAAGGGGTGGATTTAGCAATGGACACTATTGCCCAGATTATTCACAAGTGTGAACACTGCACACAGTCTCTCCTGCTCTGAAAGACTGTTACAAGAGATGGAGCCTGACATCATGGACCAGATGGACTCAGCAGTGCATGGACCAGTCCCTATAAAACTAACATAAGAGTGATGGCATATTGAAAATGTGGGATCTGAGCATGACGTGAATGGTATGGAATAAGGGGTGGGTAATGTCCTGGGTTCAGCAGTAGCAGTCATTTTTCTCCTTCTTGGTAGCTGGTGCAGTGCTGTGTTTTGACTTTCAGCCTGGGAACAGAGCTGATAACAATGATGTTTTTGTTTGGCCAAGGACTTTGTGAGCCTCATGCTCTTCCAGGGAGGAGGGGAAGCCAGGAGGAAGCAGAGACAGGACACCTGACCCAAACTGACCAAAGAGGTATTCCATACCACAGCACGTCATGCCCAGGAGGTGACTGGGAGTTAGCCGGAAGGGCTGGGAGACTGCGGGGTTGGAGGAGGTATTGGTCGGTGCTTGGTCGGGCTGGGGGGGGGGGGGGCAAGTTATTGGTCGGCTGGTGGTGAGGTGTTGTATTCACTTCCCTTGTTATTTCCTTTATCATTGTTATTACTGGTGGTAGCAGCAGTGATTTGTGTTATACCTTAGTTACTAAACTGTTCTTATCTCAACCCATGGGAGTTGCATTCTTTTCGATTCTCTTCTCCGTCCCTTCGGGAGTAGGGGGAGGGCAAGAAGAGGGGGGGACAGTGAGTGAAGGAGCTCTGCCTGGTTTAAACCACGACAGTGGTTAACCCCAGCATTCTTTACATGCACAAGATTAAAAACTCCCTGCTCCAGCTGACCTGAACAGTAATATTTATAGCAAAAGTTGCACTAAAATAGTGACTGCTCTCTTGAAATCATGTCAAAGTTTCTTTACAGAAAGGCAGGGATTGCACATGCAATTGAAAACCCCTACATCTGCAAGAGAAGAAACACAAAACTTTTTTTCTAGTTTTGCATAGGCAACTCAACCACTTATGTTGGTCTTCCCCTCAGAACACAAGACATGGCAGAACAGAGGGATTTCCCACTGTCAGTTCAATATAGAATCCCAGACTGGTTTGCGTTGGAAGGGACCTTGAAGATCATCAAGTTCCAACCCCCTGCCATGGGGAGGGACACCTTTCACTAGACCAGGTTGCTCCAAGCCCCGTCCAACCTGGCCTTGAACACTGCCAGGGATGGGGCAGCCACAGCTTCTCTGGGCACCCTGTGCCAGCTCCTCAGCACCCTCACAGGGAAGAACTTCTGCCTTACATCTAACCTGAACTTTCCCTGGTTTAGTTTGAACCCATTGCCCCTTGGCCTATCATTACAGTCCCTGATAAAGAGTCCCTCTTCAGTACCCATATACACCTTTCCTTTCTAGCCAGTTCTTCTCAGTTACTCTACATAAAACCTATGTAATTTTTTCCTTTTTCAAATTTAACCTTTTTCTGAGAGGGCTCAGCCTCTTCTCTGTAGGTGCTGCTGTTCACAAACTGACACGACAGAAAGAAATTCCAGCCCACACACAAAGACAGGAGCTCTATAAAGGACACAAATTCCCCCAGGGGAACATATTAAGTAACTGCAAGAGCAGGATCCTATTTCTCCAAGTTGCTTTAGAGAGCACTGCAGAAAAGGAAAGATGAGAATAAACCTGTTTCCGGTGCACTCTGGCAGGGAAAAAGGAACTGGTAAAAATAGAGCCGGGAAGCGCCGTGAGGATGCAGCCCACAAGCTCCCGCCCTGGAGTGGGAAGAGTGCTTCCCTCCGAGCCCTGCTGTTGACTTTCCTTCCAAAGGATATGAGCAGGAGGCAACACAGCCGAAATCAGCAAGTGCAACAACATCTGAGCAATTCTCCAGAGCTGACCTGGGAGCTGTCAGCATCTCTCACGATGAGGGAAGCCTGACCTACTGCAGTTTTTCCAGAAGCCCTTTAGCCAGCAAGTGATCTCTGCCTCAGGAAACCCCCTCAGCACCAAAAACATTAACAGCTTTTCAACCTTTGTCTTGCCTGAAACAGCAGCTACTTACAGTTTGCTTACTTCCAAGAAGCTGAGCTGTTGTCCAGTTGCCAATGAGGCAGGTAAGTAACTGGATCTAGACTTTTGTTTAGAGAACAAAGAGCAGTATCTGATTGCTTCCAGAAACAGATGAAGCTATTTAATGGTGACTGAGCCCTAACAGCATAGTTACAATGAAAAAGCACACTACTGCTGAAGATACAGCCACAAAGTGAGACACCCCAGGCCACAAACAGAGCTCTGGACCTTCCTCCAAATGTTTCAAGCGTGAAGATCATAACAAGTGCAAGTTTTACCACCTTATGTGTGGGCAAAATTAATTGCCAGAGTTCTCTCTGGCCCTCGTCATAATAAATATTGAGGATTTCCTTCTAAATATCTAGATCTAAATACACACTCAAGCTCCAAATGCTTCTACTAACTTGAATTTCAACCACTACTCTCACTGTAGGGCCTAGCACTCCATCAGAGAAGCACAATCAACCTAAGAAAGTTTCTCAAGGTCTACAAAAGCATTGGAAAACTCTAAGATCCAGCAGCCTTCCCAGTCCAAGAGTGTCTATCTATAGTACACTACAGTCCAGTGCTCAAATTCAGTCAAGCAACTTCACTCTGCATACGAGTACAGGATTTTGTTTATTTGTCTGTGAAGGAAGGGTTGGAAGCACTTACTGAGTAGCTACATGTCTCAAGAACGACAACACGGTTGGCAAAAGTCTCGTTGTGGGCTTCAATGCGGAGAGTTCGCTCTTTCCAGTTGACTGTGTTTTTCTGGATGAAAAACACATATTCTACCCCTGCAATCTGAGAAGGATGAAGAACCAAGAGGAGGAGGAAAAACAGAGAGAAAGAGTAATTTTAGGAGCCTTTATCTATCTGACCCAGTCAACAAACCCCAGGGTTCCACTTGCCTTCTTCAGCAGCCTAGGAGCATCCACATTCAGTTTGCAGCTCCGTTCAATGACATGGATAGCTCCATCATCACTCCTGGATTCATGAAGGATTTCACTCCCCAGGAAGACTGGGATCTCTGGACATGTAGGAAAGCGTTTCTCATATGCCTGGGAGTGAAAACAAAGCAAGTTTCAGATTCTGGATAGATCAACTTTAACTCTTCCCAAATTAATTAATTCCCTTACAGTAAAAGCCACACAGAACAGAGGCCCTTTACCTCTGAGGAAAAGGGAACCAACACAGAGGTTGAAGTTAAAGCCAAATAGTTATGAACAGAGCCAGGATCTGCTCATTTCAGTCATCAAGCCAAGCATGTCTTAACATAACTTATCCTTCACACAAGAAATAGAAGCAAAATAACTCAAACATCAGGAACCTAATCTTTGGCTAGCAAAAGCAAGCACAGCTTTTCTGATTTCTGCTAGCTAAAGGCTCAACCCAGAGACAGTAACATTCAAGTCAGACATTGCCTGTATGAAGAAGGCTATTGAAAAATATTTAGTACTCCTGTGCCTTAAAATGTGATGTGTGAAACAGTTCCAGCTGCCCTGGACTATCAAGGGTAAGGCCTCCAATTACTGGCTACTCACTTAATCCATTTCTAAAATAATTCTGTCCTGGTTCTGAAGTCTTCCTTGTTTTAATTAACCAAACCCTCTGAAAAGCCTTTTACCCAAAGCTTCATCACCAGCTGTAGCAAAAATCCAGCTTTTCATGGCCCTTGCATAAATGGTACCTACTGTGACTCCTCTCTAACCTCTCATTACATTGCAGGATCTTTGCAGGATGGAATGTTTTCCTTGCATTTCTGAAAAACATCTTGCATTTTGTGATGCTGTTGTAGATATGGAATTGAAGCAACTAAAGTACAAGCAGTCCAGGGTTCAGGTACAGCAGGAGGAGAACCTGTGCTCTCTTTCCATTGCACTCTAAGAGTTACACTGTCTGGTCGTAAGATGTTTTTGCTATCAGTCCAGAGCTGAGCCCAACCTCTACAAACAGCTGCTAGCTTCCTGTCTTCTGTAAGAGACAACTGTTTTATACAGCACATAGTGCTCTCATGAGTCTTTATATCTTTATCTACCACAAAAGAAAACATTAATGTGATAATGATAAAGACCAGCTCAATTGCCAGCACATGCACAGCGCTGTGGGCATGCTCAGGGTGGCTGCAGTCTCCGTTACTACAGCAGTTTGAAGGCTAGTTGCCCCATTCCTGTACCCTGGGATAATACCTGCTCTTAAAATAGCTCAGGCTCTTAAAGACACATTCCCTATCTCCTGCTACTAGACTTCTGGATGGAATAGAAGTTATTTCAGATTATCATGGTGCTCTAGTATCAGGAGGAAAGAGCAAACAGACGACCAGCATTGAGTTAGCCAGAAACAAAGTGCAGAGGTCTTGAAGTCATCCTCTCCAAGTCACTGAAGTAGTGTTCTGCTTGTTTTGCCACATTTCTTTGAGAACTTCCCCCATATCCGAGAGACCACTGCACGTGCCTTCACCCCTGGTTACAAGAACAACAAAACCTGGTTTGATAAATACAGAACTTCCCACAGCAAGTGAGTTTCCAACAGCAATCCACCTGGCTCCATGCAACCAAAAGCACACACATTTCTTTAAGCAGCTTAATTTGTTATGATGGGAAATCATGGATTCCAGCTACCCACTCCTAGTTACACTGCACTTCCCTCAAGGGTCACAGAGCAGAGGGGCTGCATCCCTCACTACCTGCTCTCAGGTATCCGCAGTTGCCAGCAGATTAATCCTCTCAGGCAAAGTTAATACTCCCTACTTGTGCCTCTACCTATCCTCCCCCAATCCTCCAGACTCATACAAGCAAGAGTCTCTCCAGGCCACCATTCCTTGTTACTGGAGCCTCAGTGGACAGTGAAAGCTGTGAACACCTTTGTAGGCCACTGGAATACCAGAATATTTAGCTACTGTTTTTCAACTGTTTGTCCCATGCCACTTCTTACACATGCCCTTAACATACTTGCGACAAGTATAACTGAAATTCCTACCCTAAAAGAAAGCTGCCCCATGGCTTTGGAAAACAATAGTTAGCATAGAGATTAGACACCACCTCTAGAGCCAGAAGGCCACCTTGAGAATCCATACTTTTGACAGCAGATCATAAATTCACCCAAATACTAATAAAATCCCACAGCTCTGTTCCTGCAAGGAGCACCAGGCCCTCCTCATCCTCAGCTCACAGCACCATGCCCCATGCTGCCTGAACACAAGCACAGTCTCCTCCACCTCAGCTCACAGTGCCAGGAAGCAGGTAACGTGGCATGTGCCAGGGCTCCACCTTCACCAAGCAGGAACAAGGCTGAGCCAACACCATCTATTTCTCTTGGATCAGGGCTGGCCAAGGATTTCTTGCCTCAAGTACTCATATTTCCCACAAATTTAAGAGTTACAAAGCAGTTGGAGCAGAAGGAACTGCCAAATAGGGTGATCTCAGCTTCTCACCCTCTGCTCTTTCAGGGGTACAGCTGTGCCAGGAACATTTGAGGGAGTCTGCAGAGAAACAAGAGCTGTTCTACTAATGATCAAAGTACAGATACCATTCCAAGGCCTCACTTCAACTGCTTCACTGGGGTACTGAGCTGCAAGAGCCTCCTCACCACAGAAAGGACACATTGGCCAATCTGAAGCCACACACACCACTGAATCCAGGTACCTCTGGCTCGCACTTGAAGATGAAGCCACCGGATCTCATCACACAACTGTTTCTTTCTCCACTAAGTATGCACTTGACCTAGAGACCAGCTTCCTAATGTCCTGGTCTTGGTTTTACTGACAGTTCAACTACTAACAGAGTGCAGTCACTATTTCAGACACGTCTATGCACAATCCTAGTGATATAACGAAGGTCAGTCTGAACCCATCACCTAAATAGGTGGAACATTTCCATATTTGAGAAAATACCAATATGTGAAAGGGATTCCAAGTCCTTTGCTAATCTTTGCACAACTACTCAAAAAATACAGCAGCTGAAGATGCCTGAGATCATATGAAGGACAGCTGAAGCACCACACTGCTGTCGCAATAAAGTTGTGCTAATAACATGCCTGAGCTTCTACCCCTGAAGGGACTGACCTGTGAGAACAACCCATCCTTTGCACCCAGCATCCTCCACAAAAACACTAGATTTCTGTTCCAACAGAGAAATTGAAGGAAGTCATAAAGACAGATAAATGTTTCAAGGTGTTTTTTCCAAACCACTGACAGAACTAGAACTAGAGAAGGCTCTGAGGAGACCATACAGCAGCCTTCTAATGTCTAAAGGGGGCCTACAAAACATCTGGAGAGGGGCTTCGGACAAGGGCCTATAGGGACCGGCTTTAACCTGACAGAGGGGAGATTGAGATGAGCTCTTAGGCAGAATTTCTTCCCTGTGAGGGTGCTGAGGCGCTGGCACAGGGTGCCCAGAGAAGCTGTGGCTGCCCCATCCCTGGCCGTGTTCAAGGCCAGGTTGGACAGGGGTTGGAGCAACCTGGTCTAGTGGAAGGTGTCCCTGTCTGTGGCAGGGGGTTGGAAGTGGATGAGCTTTAAGGCCCCATTCTCAGCCAAAGCTGACAAACAATTAGTCACATGACAATTAGCAACGATTAATCAACAGTGATATGGCTGAAGATTAAATCAGTAAAGAGTGCTTTGACCAAGGTGTCTCTGCAATCTCCTAGGAGATGCCTCTGAGTGGCTTCTCCTCTGCTGGCCAAAAAGATGTATCAACACTGAAATAGAAGAAAATCAATTTGTGAGAGGAGTCTTTGAAAACAGAAGGAAGCCACACTTAAGTGTTCTTAACACTTGGCGGGGGGGAGGTGAAATACACCATAATCAGTACAAAAAAGGTAAAAAAAAAAAAGCATCCATGAGATTGCCCTGAAGGTCAGGCAGATGCCAAACTTTACCAACTTCTACAAGTGAAGAAATCAAGTAACATTCTAAAGTCTCACAACCACAGAGAAAAGGAGAAATTACCCTCTTCTAGAATCCCCCTACTTCACCTGCCTAACTCCTCCTTCTCCAAGGCAGAGTCCTTTGCCTTAGCAGAACTGAGGTGTTACATATTGACAATGCAAGTGTTTTCCTGCTCCCTTTCCAGTTTAGTCTCCTGCAAACTGACAATAGCTGTACCCACTGCTGTTCCCTGTATAAGCCAGAGAACACAGCCAGAGGGCAGGATCTTTTCTAACAGCTACTCCTGTTTCTCCTCTGCAGGTTTCAACATCCCTTCCTAGCAAGTGACTGTGTGTAATCAACTACACAGAGGCCTCAGGATCAAAACAACAGGACTTCCAAGCACTGAATTACTGCATGAAACAAAACACCTCAAAACCCAAACCCTCCTGCACACCTTGAGGCTTCTGTCAGCTTCCACCAGCCCACTGTCTGCTGGGTCCTGGGGAGTTCTGATGTGCTCCAAGAGAGGCAGCTTCTGGTAGATGATCTAGTTTCATACATTAGTATCCCAGAGGAAACATTATCCTCTCAGTCTTGCGGCTGCATACCAACTCCCAGAGCAGCAGATCTGGCTCTCCATGCTCCAGTCACCCAAGAGAGGCAAGTCTTCAAGCTTCTCACCAATACATACCAAATAGGCAAACTGGTTTGGGCTCTCCCTGTCAGTATCCTTTAGCAAAGTAAAGCTTGTGTGCTGAATGCTGCTGTGCATGAAGTCATGCAGAAACGCATCAAGCTATTTTAGAATGGCAGTTGGCAGGAAAACATTCATGTTCTACTTGACAAGTGATGCTCTGAAGTGGCTGCATGGCCATCGTGTCCTCAGGGCTTTTTCATAGTTGAAGCGATTTCTTAGTGACAGCATCATGGAGATCTGCTATTTCAGATTCGAGCAAGAGCACAAGAAAGGGAAAAAGTATGTACTGACTCCTACATGGTGCCAAGATGAATTTAAGAAGGATTTTCCAGAGTGTAAAAGCTCAGCTATGGGGAAAAGTTACATTGAGTAGAAAACATAAAGGAACCAAACTGTTATGCACCTGATGTAAACAGAAACTATTACAGTCAATATTGTATGAATGTATTACAAGGATAAAACTTCATCCTTGTGCTAAAAGCTAAAACACT